TACCCAGGCTGGAGTGCAATGGCGTGATCTCAGCTCACCACAACGTTTACCTCCTGGGTTCAAGCCATTCTCCTGCCTCAGCCTCCTGAGTAGCTGGGACTACAGGCATGCGCCACCATGCCCAGCTAATTTTTGTATTTTTAGTAGAGACAGGGTTTCACCTTGTTGACCAGGATGGTCTCGATCTCTTGACATTGTGATCCACCCGCCTCCGCCTCCCAAAGTGCTGGGATTATAGGTGTGAGCCACCGCGCCTGGCCTCCCTTTAGCTTTTTTTATGGGGATGTCTACTATTAATGAACTCCCTAAGTTTTGTTTATCTGGAAGTGTCTTATTTCTCCTTGATACTTGCAGGATAGTTTTGCTGGATATATAGAATTCTAGTTTGACTTTTTTTTTTTTACTTAAGTCTTTAAATACATCCCCCATTGCCTTTTAGCCTCCATGGTCTCTGAAATCAGCTGGTTAATCTTATTGGGAATCTTTTGTATATATTGAGTTACTTCTCTCTTGCTGCTTTTAAAATCATCCCTTTGTCTTTGGGTTTCAACAATCTGACTATTATTTGTCTTGATGTGGCTCTCTGAGTTTATCCTTCTTAAAGTTTATGATCTTCTTGGGTATGTATATTCATGCGTTTCATCAAATTTGAGATGTTTCATCATTATTTCTTCATTTTTTAAAAATGCCCTGGTCTCTCTTTTCTCCTCCTGATACTCCTGTGATGAGTCTCATTTGATGGTATCCCTGAGGCTTGTTTATTTTTTTTCTCATTTTTGGTAATTTCAATTGTCTTATTGTCAAGAATACTGATCTTCTCTTTTTTCACCTGTTTAACTCTATTGTCGATTGCCCCTAGTGAATTGTACATTTCAGTTATTGTATTTTTGCCTGCCGAATTTCTGCTTGAGTCCCTTTTTTTCTTTTTACTAATTTCCATCTCTTTATTGATACTTTCATTTTGTTCATACATCATTTTTCAGATTTCCCTTAACTCTTTGCCCATGGTTTCCTTCAGCTCTTTGAGCATATTTAAGACAGTTAATTTTTTTTCCCAAAAGGGCCATTATTTCTCAATTTAATTGGAGGTAATAATAAAACAAGTAACAACAATATTTGAGATTTCAGCTTCTCACTCTTATCATCAAGCCTCCCATCATCAATATTTATTGAGCACTTACAGTAAGAGAGTTAATTTAAAGTCTTCATCTACTATGTCCAATATCTGGGCTTCTTCAGGGATGGTCTCTGTCAAATTCCTTTTTCCTGTGAATAGGCCATAATTTCCTGTTTCTTTGTATGCTTAGTAATCTTTTGTTGATAACTGGGCATTCTGAGTATTATAGTGTGATGTCTCTGGAAATTCAATTTTTTCACTCCTTAGGGGTTGCTGATATATGCTTGTTGAGAAGTGTGCCATCAATTTATGGTGAGTTTTTCAAACTGTTTTTTGCAAACTGTGTATTCTTTGTTTTGTGGGGTTACTGAAGTTTCTGTTTATGACCTGACAAAGATTTCTCTTCTTCCCCTGCAAAAGGGTTCTGTCCCTTTAAATCTTCTGATATATGTGGCTTGGGAAGAGGGCTGAAACCAAGCAAGCCTGTCCCTTCAACCCCAAGAGGGCTGAAACCAAGCAAGCCTGTTCCTTAGGGAACCACAAGACAAACCCAAATGTAAAACTTCTCATTTTTGGTGGACAGGGTTCCCTCTGCCCACTCGGTGACCAGCCAGCCACTTCAGTAATGTGGGCTGCCATCCCCACTGTGTTGGTTGGTAGCTAGTGCCTGCATTATGCTCTCTTTTGAAAGATGGGCAACTTCTTCCTCCATCAAGCACCTCCCTGCTCGTTATAATTGTCCAATCAGGTTCCAGACTTCTGAAGAGTTGATTCCAATTGCTCTTTCCACCTCAGTGGTTGCTTTGGTGGAGGGACCAACCCCTAGAACTTCTTACTCTGTCATTTTGTATGATGTTGTTTCTCTAGTTTAATTTTTAACATTTTAAATCTTTTATCCATTTGGAGTTTATTGTGACATATGATGTATGAGGATTATTGGGTCATAACTTAGAATCTATGTTTAAAACTGGATTGAGACCTTAGATTTGTAATTCCCACACCAGAGCTGGAGAATCCATCTGGTTTCCAGAGTGCTAAACCCAGCAGCAAGCTCCTTAGATCTTGTTTTTTGAAGGATGGCTTATGAGAGGATAGGAAAACCACAGGAAGAGAAGGAGACACGTGTCACATGTCAAGAGGGATGTAATCAGGACAATGATGGCCAGAGACATAAATATTGGGTTGCTATTGGGGAAGGATGAGATGCAGAGGGCATGGAGTTGAAGATGGAGATATTTTTGGGAGGGGGAAAAAGGGGTGGTGTTTCATTTCAGAGTCCACAGAGTAGAGGGGCTGGAATTTGAGTGGCCTAGAGGAGAGGTAATTCAGCTCTTTAGTCTGAGGTTTTCTAACAGGCTGAGACCTTAAGCAGGGCAGGGAGTGACTCTATTGGCCAGGAGCTGGCGTTCCTGAAACAGGACTAGGCAAAAACCAGGAGATAAGATTTCTTGAGTCTTTTACCTGGTCTAGTGGCAGATCCTGGAACCAGAAAGGTTTAAATTCCTAGCTCCCTGGTTTTCCCCTTGCCTAAGTGGAAATGACTAAGAAAGTAGTAAGCAGCCTATCTCTGAAGAATTCTCAGACAGATAGAATAGCACGGGCTTGGGAGGGGGGCATGTAGATACTTCTGAAGTCATATTATATTAGTTTGCTTCCAAACTTGGCTACACTTCAGAATCACCTGGGCAACTTGCTAAAAACACATAATTAGAAGCAATATGCCAGACCGCCTTAAATAGAATCTCAGAATAGAGCCAAAGAATGTGTATGTTTACCAAGCTCTGCAGGTAACTCTAAGCATTTGGTGAGGAGGGGCTGGAAGAGCCATTTGGGCCTATTCTGCTCCCCATCCCACATTCAAGATTGACACAGAGTCAGTGAAAGGGAACAAAGTTGGTCTGGGGAAAGGAAAGCTGGATTGATGTCCCCCTATACCCCCTGGAGGAGGAGACTTTCTTTCCTGGCACAGGTTGCAGGAAAAAGGAGAGATGGTAGGGAAGAGGAGGGGGCTGGTTGTACCTTTTTCTCTCCTAAAATCTCAAGCTTGCTATCTCTCCAACATACTCATCTGTCCCCCTTACCCTTTTTCATGCCATCAAAGAAGCTTCTTGTTGTGTCAGATGGTATGCACAGCCCCCTCAGGTCCTGTCCCTGCCTGGTCTTCCTAGATGCAGGAATCTTGGTTGACTAGGCATCAACCCTAAGCCCCTACCTGTGA